TGTATCCCGTAGATGAATCATGAGTTGTTAACAAATTAGCTTTATCAGGTTCAGTTATTACCTTGCACATCGTAGGCATCCCAGAATTGTTTATTTTTTAACAAGTTTATTTTTTATATACCAAATCAATTTTCTAAACTTCTGTTTCTTTGTATGATATTTTTATTTTCCTTCAAATTAAACTATGAAAAGGGTTTGTTAGAGTAGTAGTACTGTGGTTAGATTTTCCTGTTTTTATATTTAATTTGATTTCTATCAAAACTTAATGTGAAAATGCTTTTGAAATGGTTCCGTGTAATGGAACATTCAGTGTAATGTTAATATTGGCACAATAAGGATATGCATATCAATTTTTGTTAATTATATCATTCTTTCAAAGAGCATGGTTTACATGTTGAGATAACATTCATATGCAGCCATAAATTATGTTGGAGCTTTTGCAAAAAGTTTCCCAGCACATAATGGAGTAATATAAATTGACTTATTTTAAAAAGCAACAGCATATATTCTGTTTCTTCCTTAAATAGATTATACGGTTATGGATATACTTAAACATTCATAAAATTTAATATATCCTATATATAATTTTCATAGTTCAGCAAGACAGCTTTAACTTTTGACTGAAGTCTACTAAACAAGTATAAAAGATTGAAGCCTAAAGTCAACTGTTGGTAGAAGCCAAAACCTTAAAATGTATAATTAAACCTGCATTGAATATAAGTAGGTTTCCATTTTAGAAAACATGTTCAATTCAGCTCAACCAACACTTACTGAGCATTCTGCTATGGGAGTTCTATTGATAAGGAAAAAAATCACTACTGCGGTAACACTGGTGGTACTAATAGAGTTTGAACCGCGGCGGTGATGGGGGGAGGGGGGTTCCAAGTGAAAGACATTTTTACATTAGGTTTAATGGGTGACTGGATATGTGCATTGAGGGTACAAGGAGCATTTAAGATAATGTAGACTTAACTTCAGCACTGGGTGACTGATGACACTATTAAACAGGATAGTAAATAGGAAAAGGGAAAGGTTTGGTGAGCTTGAGAACTTTCAGTTCAGTTTTGGGCTTTTTGAATTGGAGACATCTGTAGGACATGTAAAAGTGAGTCCATAACATTTCTATGTCCTTGTGAAGATTGTTATTAAGAGGGCACTGTTGACTTCTTCTTGAAATTCTGGACCATAGGACATTTTTAGGGTGTGTGATGATAACAGTAGTGACCTTTGCCCTAACCCCTGTAACACAGTTAAACGTCAGAATTTAGCACATAATTGTATTTTATATCACATTCTAAATGTTTTAAATCACTTTTGTCTCACCTTGTGATTGTAAACATTAGGGCTGAGATGACGTTTTATGCTCTTCTAACAGGCTCAGAAGTACTGTTGAAGTCCCTGTAGTGGCCTCAGTGAAAACTACTACCCCAGAATCTTAGAATTTGTTTCTCTCAGTGTATCTGGTGATGCTACAGTAGTAAATGTATTGAGGAATTGCTTTCGTTCATCCCTTCATTGATTCCCTACTTACTGAATACCTGGTATATGCAAGGTATTATTGCCTTACAACTGGGCATGAAGCAGTAGGGATACTTTGTTTCTAGAAATAGATAACTACAACAACCTCTTATCATAAAAACTTTTAATTTTCTTTTCAGAGACTTATCAGTTGTTTTAAATGTAGAAATTACTCTTTTTACTTCATGAAATCTTAAAATCACTTCTGGTAAAGAGGGAGGTGTTGAGGGGAGTGAGGGAAGTGAAAGAATTAAGAAGATAAATGAGTTTGAAACTGTCTTAAAGATATTACCATGTATTGATCTCTGCCAGAGGGAATTCTTGTTAGACCTGATTCTGACAGTCAGTCTGCCTAGCACTTTTTTAACTGCTGTCTTTCCTGATTTCATTTGTTACTCACTGCAGTGGCATGTTGATCGAATGTGGGAATTAAGAACAAGGTCTGCCCACAGCCTTGGTTCACATGCCTTGCTACTTAGTGTTTGTGCGAACCTGGCTAAATTGCAGCCTCTCTAAGTTTTGGTTTCTTCCTCTGTAAGTGGGGATATGAGCACGATGTAACTAGCTTATAAGTTCGTTCCATTAAATGTCAACTGTTTGGCACAGTGCCTGGCCCAGAGTATATGTGCAATAAATGTCAGCAATAATAGTGGTGAGATAATTGTGAATCCTAACAGTACTCTGTCTTCCTTAAAGTGCTAGATAATATTCAAGTAAAATACCAGACATTTAGTTTTGAAATTTTTTAAAATTTTAAATGTCAACATTATATATTCATTGATTGTTTCTATTTTATTTTTAGCTTTAAAACATTATTATTCATTTCTCTATGTTGAAATTTTCATAATCCAACATGTGTATGTATAACCTTTCTACCTTTCCTTGTATATTGATCTCTGCTGTAAAAAAAAAAAAAAAAAAGGATAGGGATATACTGATATCATATTTAATAGAATTAACTTCTCCCTTGCCTCTCTGGTGCCTTTGCTCCCTCATGCCCAAATAACCTATCTTGTAAGAAACTTCTGTGGGTGTACAAAAAATAAGAGTAAATAAAGACAGAGCATGTAATAAAGCAGAACAAGTACTTCCAGTAGAGGGAGATATTGGCAAAACAATCAAACCGCAGAATATGCAGGTGCAATGGGTATCAAATTTAAAAATGAAGCTTTCCCTGTGTAAAAAATTTAACTAATTAAGAATTTAAGTAATAAGTTGGGTAACACTGTGGTTTTTATTTTGCTAGTTGCCAAACCCAACTCAGTGTGCAAGTCTCTGGGAATGCACTATGAGTACTACGGATACTATTACCGTCACCACGGAACTTTCCTCACGTACTGTTGCAGAGATAGAAGTAAAGACAAGATCATTGACACCTCTCATCTCTCTGAATCTCTAAAAATCGCAAGTAATGTAGGTTATAGGCTGGGTCATTTGAAAACAAAGTTACAAAAGCTATATTTTCATAATTCAAAAAGATTTTTTTCACAGAGTTCTAGACTATCTGAATAAACTGGTGTAGCCTTAAGTGACATAAACCAATGGACTGAATCAGAACACTATCCTTTTTATAAAAGGAAACATTGTTAAAAATTTAATATCTTTGCAGTTTAGATCTCCAGATTTCTGAAATTACTAGGAGGCCTATAATTAACAGCAAATTAACAACATTAATTTGGCTTGGATTGGAATTTTTTCAAATATTTTCAGTAGGATAGTTAAATTGATTTGAAGCTTTACTTTTCCAACAGAAACATCCCATTTCTTTCTGTTGGCAGCATTGTCCAATAACTGACTACTATAATAGCCCCTCTGCACTTTGAAATTTACTACTCTTATTCTATCACATGCTAAGAAATTGCTGCCCTGGAACTTGGGGATGTTGAGACTGCCCTTAAACCTGAGCGGCTCACTTAACAGTTGACTGAGTTTTCCCCTCTGTATCATGCCTAAATATTTTGATGTGGATTTTATTATTTTTTGGCTGCATTAGTAAATTCAGTTTGTAAAATGTCAAAAGAACTTTATATAATACACAAAATGTATCTTAAATAAACGCACTATAGTGATCTTGTAGTTTAAATTTCTATTTAATAGATTCAGAAATGGAAGTTATACATCTCTGCTGATTTTCTAGTTAATTAATTTGGTAAACATTACTACCATCAACTTAATAGATATTAGCTTTCAAAAGGTACTGTCTTAAACATGTAGTTTTTAGTTATTTAGCATTCTGCAAGCCTTCTTCAATTTTCTTTTAATTTTTGCCAGGGAGCATCATTGTTTTTTGTGTTTAAGTAGGTTTTTATAATTTCATAGGTAACTTTGGAGTTCTTTGAACTACTAATACATATCAGAATGCCTTTTTTTAAACCTTCATAAATAAATTAATATGCATGAAAAATGGCTATAGGAAAATGAAACTGAACAAATAAAAAGCAAATCTGTACTGATGTGTATCCATTAGAGTAGTTAAGATTATGCTACAGTAATAAGCCTAAAAACTCAGTGACTAAAACCAATGAAAGTTACTATTCACGTATGCCACATGTTCATTGTAGTTTGACAGCAGTGATGCCTTTGTTGTCGTCACTTGGGGACTCAGGCTGAGGCAGGTTCTATCTTGACAATTGCAGTTCTGGGCAAAGAAAATGTAGTGACTCTTTTGATATTTTTAAAACTTCTGCCTGAAAATGGCATAGTTCACCTTGGCGAGATGTAACCACATCTGAGTTCAACAGGGTGAATGATCCTCACGCAGAGAGGGACACTGGATGTTGCAAACAGTGTGGCAGTTTACTCTTCTAAAGTGAGCATTCAGCAACTATCAGTAGTTTCTGTATGAAGCTTAGACAATGTCTGGTTTGAAACTGACTATGGGAAGAAAGTGAACTGTTTTCACCTAATCATAACCAGATTAGTTTTAGAAGTCGTACTGCCAGTGCGTTGAACACATATACACACACGCCCACACAATTCTACATGGTCCATATGATGCAGGAACTGTTTTACAATAACATTTATACCATTGAGAATATTGCTGTTCTACATGCAGTGTGCACAGGGAGTAACGACATTTGATGGACTGACCTCCTTTAAATTCACAGTTGTACGTCAGCCAGGACCATTCATAAATTTAATGAGTGCATTACAGTTTAGCACGGTTTTAAATTTCTTTGTTTCTTTCTTTCTTTTTTTTTGGCTTTTAAAAACACAACAAAAAGGCCAAATTTTTATTTGGAATCTAAGTGTTTAATGGTATAGTGTATTAAAGAGAAAACTGGCTGCTACAAACAGCTAATAGTTTAAATAACAAATATAATGGAAGCATTAGTGATATTGCCAAAATTCACACCAAAATGAAAATATTATAGTTTGTTATAAGATCGGTGATTTTTGTTTTTTGTTTTTTAAGTCTCCAACAAATTAGCTAGTGATTATTTATTTTGTTGCTAACAATTCTTTTTATCTTGATTTTTTAGATATTACTGATTTTCCGAAAATATTTTGTGAAACTTCCCAGAAGCTGGTGAGTGTGGAAGCCTTCGCTCTGGCTGCTAAATATTATTCTGTACAAAACTTGGGAATATGTACTCCTTTTGAACAGTTGCTTGTAGCCCTTCGTGGAAATCAAAAACAGAGAACTGGTAGGTGTGTTTGTGTGTGTGCATGTATGTTTTTTAGGCATTTAGAAGCAATATATTGTTCATATATGTATATATTTCCAACATTTTCTTAATTTATTTTTAGACCTTATATCATGAGCCCCGATAGACTGATTTGTTCTAAATGAGTAGGTTTTCTTATGCACCATATTAAACAGAAAACTTAGGTATAGATCTCCACATTTTTTTCCTACATCATAGTCTAGTCATCAGTCTTTTCTTTTGTAGTTAATTGTTTTATATTTCAAGGAACATTTTTAAGAATGTTATATGAGTCTTTTCATTTTATTAATTCAAATTTGATTCATAGCAGCTAAACTGATAGAGATCCATCTTATAGACACCGCAAGAGGATCTCTGTATTATTTTCATATTTAATTATAGAAAACATGAGCATCAACTGATGATTCTTATTAAGTTTTGTTTCTTTAGTAGCAGTACTTTAATTTTGTTTTATTTTTGTTCAGGTGAAAATGTGAAGCCAGATGAGTTTATGAATTTGAAAAAATCTCATGAAGTTCAGGCAATGTCAGAGCTCATCGGCAGTGCTGCTGATTACTGTGGAATAAAGCAGGTAAGAGTACTTCCCTGTATATTCATGTGTTTAAATTACTGCCACTTTGGGGGGTAGCATTCAAATTTCCTTTTCTACTGTCACTGTCTGGCCTTTAAAATGTCATTAAGTAATAGCTGATGTGAGATGTCACATCACATCTGATCCTTTAAAAATGCTCTCATTTCCCAATATACTGCAATAAAAACAAATTTATACTAAAAATAAGATACGACTGTTAATGTTTTGCCACAAATTTCACTCTTTCCAGAGTAGATAAGAAGCTATGGTAATTCTCTTTTTCTTATGTTGTAACTCCAATTTGAGGCAGCATTATGAAGATGGCATTCTGCAAAATTGTTTACCACTAGGTGTTCTCAAGGACCTGGGTTACCATGCTGTGGTCTGGGGCACCTGCCTCATTATTGTAACATAAAGAAACTTGGATTCTTTCATAGTGTCAGAATTATAATGCATTCCTGTTGTAAAAAATAGCCTTTATGAAGGGTAGTAATGTCTGAAAATAGATGTTAAAATAAAATCAGTGATTGCCTCCATTGGCCTATAAAAATAGTAAGTTATTTTTCTTATCCCTACAAGAACATCTGTGGGGGTAATGGAGGATTTTTTCCCTTCTTCAGTTTTTATTAGGTGTTAGAATCTTTTCCATGTATTCTTTCAGACTTGTGGAGAGTTTGAGATTGATTAGAAAATGATCACAGTTTGGGCCAGGCATGCAGAACCACTTATGGCAACATAGATCTCTAGAGTAGGAACTAAAAGGCAAGAGCCGAGGTAATAGTTTTCAACCTTTTCTCCAGTGTATCATATCTAAGCAGTACCTATCAGGATCGGTAACAGGCTCACCATGACAGTAATACTCAACCGGAGTAAAAAGGGCAAGTACACAATAAAATTTAACAAACTGCTGCTGTACATAACACATGGATGAATATTAGAAACATACAAATGGTTGGGAAAAATAAGCAATTTACAGAAGACTACGTATTTTATGGTATCATATTTAAAAAGCTCTTAAGCAAAATAATGGTATATTCTTAATGCAAAAAATATATGCAAAAAAACCATTAAAGAAGCAAGGGAATCATAAACAGTAATTTGAGAATAGTTGTTACCTCTGGTAGGGGAAGCAGGGAGATGGGATATGGAAAGAAAACATAGTTATATGGAATGGAAATACTAACATTCTAGTTCTTAGGATGGCTGGTGGGTTCATGGGTATAGCAGACGCTACGGGATGCCTTATTCAGAAACTCTTGGGCCTCACCATTTCATGGTGTGCCGGGCTGCTTTCTACCTAGCAGTTTCTACATTTCTTTTCCTGTGGGTTTTCTCTGTCTGCTGAAGCATGGCACTGCCTGCATACAAGTTCTGGGGATTAATTCCTCCCTGTGAGCATCCTTGAATTAATGACTAATACACGTTGATAAACAGATACATCAACTCCTGGACTTTCCAGGTGGGATGACTATGAGGTATGTGTTCTACAGTAGCTCTCCAAGTTTCTCAGTGTGATTAAACCCAGGTTGTCCTAAAGTGGTATTTTGCTTAAGAACATACCTTTTATTGGGCTGTCTTCCTTTCTCTTTTTTCTCTTCTCTATTTCCCTGTCAGTGTTTTCTTCACCTCCCAAATACATCACTTATACTTAAATCTTCGAGCGGTATTTATTATTGTGCTTTATAACTTTACATTTCAACTACACTTATTCTTTTATTTATAAATTTATTTATTACATAATAAATAACTTTAAATTAATAAAGTGGATTTATTTCTAAAGTGCAGAGAAAAAAATTTGAAATAGCATAATATTTCATGTTAGACCTTCTCTAAGGGAACTTTTTTCATAGTGATGGAGATTGTTTCTAGTGAGTGAAAACAACCTGTATTAAAGACTTACAGGGTCTTTCTCTTGAAATTACTTAATAGCAATATTTGATTCTCAAAATAGTTAAGTTTGAAATGTATGATGTGTATACTATTTTTACTTTTAAAAAGCAGATTTAATAAATGTAGGTTTCATGGGGATAGTTGGAAACCCAGATACTAAAATCTTAACTTTACTAGTGACCAAAAAGAACTAGAGAAGATAAAAAAACAATTTATTTTTGCCTCAACCACATTGCTCCCTACATGCCAAAAACCTTTGCCTCTCTCATCCCCATTACCAAGGCTTCTTACTTCTTAATTTTTATTCCTAAAATATGTTCATTCATTCACACTTGGATGCATGCATTCATTTATTAAATATTTCTTTGGCTCCTACCATGTATCAGGTGCTGTTATAGATGCTGAGGATACAGTAGTAAACAAAACAAAACGTATCTTTGCCTTTATGTCATTTATACTCTAATGAGGAGAGATAGATAATAAAATCATTATAAGTATATTTTATTGTATATATTGATATACTTTAAGGAGAAAAAAAATAAAAAGGAAGTAGCTAATTCAGGGATGGGAGATTAAAGCTTTTGATTAGGAAGAGAGGGGCAAGTAAGACCTCATTGTAAAGATAGCATTTGAATTAAGACCTCCTTCAAGAGGTAAGAGAGTTATCCATTAGAATATCCAGATAAAAAATTTTTTAGATGGAGGGAATAACACATTCAGTGGCCCTAAAGCGGGAATATACTTGGTGTATTCTTTCTTTCTTTCTTTCTTTCTTTCTTTCTTTCTTTCTTTCTTTCTTTCTTTCTTTCTTTCTTTCTTTCTTTCTTTCTTTTTTTTTCTTTCTTTCTTTCTTTCTTTCTTTCTTTCTTTCTTTCTTTCTTTTCTTTCCTTTCTCTTCCTTCCTTCCTTCCTTCCTTCCTTCCTTCCTTCCTTCCTTCCTTCCTTCCTTCCGTCTTCGTTGCTGCGTGTGGGCTTTCTCTAGTTGCAGCAAGAGGGGGCTACTCTTGGTTGTGGTGTGTGGGCTTCTCTTGTTGTGGAGCACGGGCTCTAGGCACGTGGGCTTAGTTGCTCCACGGCATGTGGGATCTTCCCGGACCAGGGCTCGAACCCATGTCCCCTGCATTGACAGGTGGATTCCTAACCACTGCGGCACCAGGGAAGCCCCACTTGTTGTATTCTTGAAAGAGCCAAGAAGCCAGATTAACTCCAGTGGTGAGAGCAAGGGCAGAGTAGTAGGAGCTGAGGTTGGGGTGGCAGAAGCAGGTCATGAAGTTGTAGAGTCTTAGAGGCCATTGTGATGATTTGGGCTTTTGTCCTGAATGAGATGGGAAGCCGTTGGAGCCACTGGATCACTCTGACTGCCGTGTTGAGGAGTGTTATGAAGCAAATATTGGGTTAGCCAAAAAGCTTGTTCGGGTTTTTGTAACATGTTGTGAAAAACCCGAACAAACTTTAGGGCCAACCCAATATTTCCATTACCTTTGCACTCTTCGCCATAGTCTTTGTAAACATTCAAGCTGGCCGTTTTCAGAAATTAGCTCATATGTAAGCATGAGCTTCCAGAGTTGAGGCAAAAAGCTTAGTAACAAAGGAGGTTAGTAGCAGGAGATAAGTTTAGGGAAGTGATGAGAGATTTTACTTAGAGGCGTGGTATGATCAGTCTTTGTTTGGCTCTCTTGAAAATAGACTCAAGGAGGGAAGGTGAGAGCAGGGAGATCATTGAGGAGGCCGTTGCAATAACCTAGACTTAGGGTGCAATTGGTATGAAATACCCTTGGTAAGACTAGGGATTTTTTCACAATTCAGGTGGAGGGTATGAGAGAAAGAAAAGAGTCTTGTTCTCCACCTGGGTATGGAGATACTATTAACTATGATGGAGAAGATTATGGGAGGGGTAGGTTTTACAGAGACTATCAAGAACTTAGTTTTGAACGTGTTATATTTGAGATGCTTATAAGACATTCAAGTGGAAATGTTTAGGTACACTGTTGGATATGAGTATGAAGTTCATGGTAGAATTCCATACTGGAGTTATAAATTTGAAAGTCATTAGCTTATAATAGTAGTTAGATCTCCAGGTCAGTCAACAAAATATAACTCTCCTATCTGAAGTCTAGTACCATACTAATACTAATATTAAGAAATGTAATCACTATGTGTAGCAATATTTCTGTGAGAAAGTCTTCTAAGCAGAATTAGGAAACAAAGAAGATACCTCCCACCAGGTATTACACTGGAGACTCCTCTATCTTCAAACCTATAATATGATCCAGGAAGGAAAAGACCGTTGTGAATAAGGGGTAAGAGATCAGGATTGTGGAGGTTTTGCTACTCAGATAATAGAGTTTGAAGGCAAAAATATGTATGATTTATGTAACCTTTAATTGCAGAGTTTGCCATTCTCTTGCTAACACTGTATATATTACTGAAAGGCCAATTTGGAGAGGGGTAAAAATCAATTTGGGTCAGTAAGATATAAGTGAGCTGATAGATTTTTCTAGGAAATTTTGCCTATTACTGAAAAGGGTTTCAGATATTATATTGTGAAGACATGATTCTTAGATTTTCCCCAGCCATCTTGCAATCAGAGGAATTACAAATACATTGGCCCAGAGGCCATATGTGGTTGAGCCTCTGGTTGGTTCAGCTACTCTACTGCCAGATTTCTTAAGTGAGGTGAGTTTTTCTCAGTGATGGAAATTTGATATTCTGTCACTTGCAGCCAAAATTTTCCTCATTCACAAGTGGAATCATTATATGCAGATCTGGGAACAAACTCAATTACCTCTTGGTAAGAAAACATCTGTATTGGGGGGAACAAATGTCCTGGTGCTTACAAGTAACCCATTGGTTGCTAGCATTAAGCTGCCATTGGCATCAGTGAATGTGTTTTTGTAGAAGGAAGGGAATGGAGAGCTTTGCTTTCTCTAGAGATTCAGATATGGGGAAATTGATTAATAGAATTTCTACTCTATAGCCCTTGTATTCATGAGTATGGTATCTTCAGTTAGATTGTAGTTCCTTAGGATCAAGATATATAATGCTTCTGTATTTCCCATAATACCTAGCCTAGCGATTAACATTAAAAAGGGGGCATAGGGAATTATTTGTAAGCTAGACACTTATTTAGAGGACATCATTTATTGGAGTTTTACCTATGAATTGCAATTTTGCTTGAATTGAAATTTTTGAGGATTTCATTGATGATATGCATTATTTCAAATATAGGAAATTTTCCTTGAGTGGCTCATATTTATGTCAGGATTTAATTGATTTTAGGAATTAAAGATTAGATATAATGAGATTAGATAATGATTTCCTATGATAATATTTCTGTAATTGTCCATTTATTTCTTATGAAATGACATGAGAATACAGTAAACAATCTTGGTAATTTTATGTCTTTTATCATTTTTAGTTTTATTGAGGTATAATTTATATATTCACCAATTCTAGGTGTACACTTTGATGCATTTGATAATTGTATGCAGTTGTTTAGCCACTGTAATAAAAAATATTTCTGTCACCATAAAACGTTTCCTCATACCCTTTTGCAAGATATTTCCTCCTACATTCTCAAGGAATTACTGCTATGCTTGTAGTTTTGACTTTTCTAGAACATCGTATAAATGGAATCAAATACTATGTAGATGTTTGTGTTTGACTATTCTTTAGCGCATAGTTTTTAGAGTCATCAATATTTTTATGTGCATTGACTCTTTGTTCCTCATTTTTGGGTGTAGTATGTTACAGTATAGATATACCACAATTTGTTTTTCAATTCATTGGTTGATGGATATTTGAGTGGTTACCAATTTTTTTGGCCGCTATGAATTTATTCACATACAAGACTTTGTGGACATGTTTGCATTTCTCTTGGGTAAATAGCCCAGAGTGGGATTTGTAGGTTGTATAGTAAAAGTGTATGCTTTAACTGTATGGTAAACTGCTGATGTTTTCCAGTGACTGTACCATTTTACATTTGTGTGTATCTCATTATAATTTTAGTTTGCAATTCCCAAAAGAGTAGTGATATTGGGCATCTTTTTATAGTGGTCATTTGTATATCTTCTGTGAAGTGTGTGTTCAAATGTTCTGCCCATTTTTTAATTGGTGGCTTGTCTTATTATTGAGTTGTTAGAGTTCTTTATATATTCTGGATACAAACCCTTAGTCAGATATATGTTTTGCAAAATATTTCTTACCCTTTTTAACTATGTATTTTGAATAGCAAAGGTTTTAATTTTAATGAAGTCCATTTTTCAATTATTTCTTTGTAGTTTATGCTTTTTATGTCCTACATAAGAAATCTTTTTCCCCCCCAATGTCACAAAGATATGCAGGAATTAAAGATATGCCTGCTTGGCATATGACATGCAAAAATCTTTTTTTTCCCATACAGACATCCAGTTATACCCACACTGTTTGTTGAAAAGACTATCTTTTCCTTTGAATTACTTTAGTTGTTTTGTCAGAAACCAGTTGACCATATAACTGCGGGTCTATTTCTGGACTCTGTTTATTCCATGGATTTATATATCTATTTTTATACCAGCACTACACTGTTTTGATTACTGTAGTTTTTTGGGGTTTTTTTTGTTTTTGTTTTTTTTGCGGTACGCGGGCCTCTCACTGTTGTGGCCTCTCCTGTTGCAGAGCACAGGCTCCGGACGCGCAGGCTCAGCAGCCATGGCTCACAGGCCCAGCCGCTCCGCGGCATGTGGGATCTTTCCGGGACCGGGGCATGAACCCGTGTCCCCTGCATCAGCAGGTGGACTCTCAACCACTGCGCCACCAGGGAAGCCCTGATTACTGTAGTTTTATATTGATTCCTGAATCAGTGTAAATCCTCAAATTTTTTCTTTTCAAAATCGTTTTGGTTATTCCAGGTACTTTGCCTTCTCATATAAATTGTAATATCTGCTTATGAATTTCTTTTAAAAACCCTGCTTGGATTTTGATTAGGATTGCATTGAATCTATATGTCAGTGTGGCAGAATTGCCATCTTAATATTGAGTCTAACTATTTCATGAACATGGTATATCTTTATTTAGCTCTTTTAAATTTTTCCTATGCAATGTTTTGTAGTTTTCAGTGTATAGGTCTTACATAAGCTTTGTTAAATTTATTCCTAGATTTCTATTTGTATGCTATTTTAATTCAGTTGGTTTTAAATTTTATTTTCTAATTGTTCTTTACTACTGTAATGCATGTGTTCTGATGGTTCATTATTCATTTCTAATGAGCTTGTATCTTGACACATTGCTAACTTGACTTACTAGTTCTTTTAACTTTTGTATGCATTCCTTAGAATTTTCTACAGATACAATCATGTCATCTATGAAGGAAGACAATTTTACTTTCAATATTTATGTTTTTTACATCTTTTCCTTGACTTATTATTATACTGCTTAGAACTTCTCTTAAAATTTTGAATAAAAATGATGAGAGTTGTTGGTTTTTAATAGTAATCAAAAATTAAAATTAAAAAAAGCATAACAGGTTATATAAATTATACATTCCTTTACTTGCTTTTTAAAAAAATATCACGAATGCATTCTGTTACCATCTGACTAAAATCCTTTTAATTAATTCTGGTTTTCTTTAGATAATTGACCTGGGTTCTGGAAAAGGCTATCTAAGCTCCTTTTTGTCCTTGAAGTATGGCTTAAAAGTTTATGGAATTGATTCCTCAAATACCAATACTCACGGAGCTGAGGAGAGAAACAGGAAACTGAAGAAACATTGGAAAGTCTATCGTAGGCGGTCAAAATTAGATGTCAATGGACTGGCATTACAAATGACAAAAGAAAGGAAAGTGCAAGATGAAATTAAATTTAAAGCCGATATTGAGGGAGTATGTAACAGCAGTACTGCAAATCAAGAAAAGATGTCGACCTCGGACTTTCTGCAAGATTTTTCAGGCTCTGTAATTTCTAATATCAGAAAACAAATGGAAAACCTACATGTTTATTCACATCGAGAAGAAAATTTGTGTTTTGAAAATGCCTTTTCTCTTAGGGACCTTTTGCCTATTAATGCCATAGAACCTACTTCTTCATCCCATATACCCAAGAGAAAAATGTCTGAAGGAAATAAAGAGAGAAGAAAAATGACATCAAAGTCAAATGAATCCAATATATATTCACCTTTAACATCTTTTATCACTGCTGATTCAGAACTACATGATATTATTAAAGATCTGGAGGTAATTTTATTTTTTTAATTCCTTAATTTCATTTATATATAAAGGCTCTAAGACATAGAATTAAGTTTTAATGGTAGCTTACTTAACCTGCGTATCTTATTTGATTACATTAATATAAAGTACCAAGAAAATAAAATTATATTCAGGCTTTCATGATTTCCACAGCTGTCAAAATCTGACAATCTGACAATTATGATTTTCCAGAAGGGAGTACCCTCCACTCATTTGTAAGCCTAAATTAAACAGAAGTACTAATACAAAAGCTAGTCAGCTAAGTTCTCGTTATGCAATTTATGAGTTGTTAAAATTCCAATCCAAGAAAGCTCTTACATTTTATTTAAATTTGAAGTAAAGATGTACCTAGGGCAGTATTATGTTTAATGTTAGCCTTGTTAACCAAATTTGCAATTTTCTTGAGCAAGACCAACTTCTGTGTATTCTTAAAAAATTTGAACTTTTTCTAAAGTACAAGTATGTCAAGTTATGCAGAGATAATATATCTTAAAGACAACATTGTATGTGAAAACAATATTGTAGAGGAGTTTTTAGAAATCATTTGGCCTAACTCATTGTTTTAAAAAAAGCAGGGTAGCCTTTGAAGTTACAATATTCTACTCTTGTTAATTTTTTTGAAAATTCTTCCCTAAAGAATGAATAAACAAAAGATACCAGAATTCTTTATAAATTTAAATCCTTGTTTGGTAGCTAACCAGTGTTTTGTTACTTTGTCATTTTAGAATGGGGAATTTTTCTTTTTCCCAGATATTTCAGGATTTCACTAATTATGGGAAACCGGTTAATCCTCATTAATTGTTTTTCCTATATATGAAATCAGTAATTAAGTTATAACTTAACCTTCTGTTAGGGTTAAACAGCCCCAATTACTTTAACCTGACTTAAAAATGTATACATTTTTAGTGCTTATTATCATATATTTATGTTTTTAAAAGTCTTCTGGAAAATATATGATCAAAACTATATGCAGACTTTTATAAGAATTTGACTTATAAAAGATATGCTGGAAGATTATTTCTTGGGTCCTTAGTTAAGTAGCAATTTAATAACCAGAATTAACCAATACCTTCCATCTCCTCCCCTCCCCACCCTACAACACATACATACAATACTTAAATATTTTACTGTTAGGATAACATGCTGATTGCGTATTTTTGTTTGCCACCTGCTGGTATTTTTAGCTAACCTTGTGTAATGAATACACTGAAAAATGAGATTAAATATTTTGGTGTTATCTTTAGGGAGAACTACCCTAAAAGAGAGAGATTTATGTCTCTGTTATCTACCCTTAATTAGCAATAAGCCCTTTCTCTCTGAATTCCTTTTTTGTTTATAACATTATAATGTCTAAATAAAACCTACCCAAACTATGTAGTCATTGAGAAAAGCAAAATAGTTGCACAACACTCCAGAAATTGTGCTTTGAAGAGAATGTTGGTTGAAGCAACAGAATGTTCTATCAGGTTGAAGCAACTTACAGGTACAGTTATTTTCTTTAGAAAGGTAACACTTCAGCCCTGTCTATGTCTACATTATATGGGCTAAAATCACATTTTTGGTAAAATAACTTAAGTGAAAAAATTGTATTTGTTCTGAAGATAGTTATAAAAATATACTTGATTACAACTTAATGTCTATTATTTTGAATTTATAACATGATGATGATGATGATGTAAGAATAGAAGACGTTTACTGAATTTTATTGGATGCCAGAGATTGTACTAACTCATTTACCAGTATTAACTTATTAAAGTCTTGCAATAAAGTCTTGCAATAAAGTCTTGCAATCTCACTGAGGTGAGATACTATTATTAGCCTCATATTACAGAAGAGGAAACTAAGGAACTGAAGAGTTAAAACAAACAAACGGTATATTGATCAAGATTCTGTGAGTCCATGCCTATGCACCCATTCTGTATGTGTATACATCTAAATTACGCTTTGGGTAATTAGGAGAACATTTCATAGAATTTTTACATAAAATTCGTGTTATAAAATTTAGAACAAAAACTTTATATTGAATTTAATCTTGTCATATTTGATGCAGTGAATGAACTAAGTAAACTTTTGGTGTTGGAGTAAAAATGCCTACTTAGCAACACTTAATTTTTTTTTATGACAATGTTTTATAAGTTTCGATGGGTATGGGTGAAGAAGTGAATTTTAAAAATTGACTAGTAAGGTATTAATGTGTCTCAAATCATAAGTTTGTCCTAGTAATGCAGGCTACGTTGTATTGATCCAGCGTTAATTTGAGTAGTCATTAAGCAAATATTAGTTGTAAAAGAAACCAGAGAAAATTCAAATGAGTAAGTAACCAAAGACACTAGAAAATCAACTGAAAGTTATGTCAGTTTTGGTAAAAGATCGGTCATTTTGCCTTTAAAGGCAATAGTTATTTGTTATGAAAATAAAAGACATATAATATTTTCTAGGTAAAATTTCATCATTTTAAAAAGCTCTACATCTTCTAATAAACATTTAAATGTTTTTTAACCCTCCTTTTAATTTCCAAAATTTATTTTTTAAGGATTGTTTTATGGTAGGTCTGCATACTTGTGGTGATCTTGCTCCAAATACTCTGCGAATATTTACTTCCAAGTCTGAAATCAAGGGGGTTTGCAGTGTGGGTTGTTGCTACCACCTCTTATCTGAAGAGTTTGAAAACCCACATAAAGGTACAAGTTCTTCATATCCCATAATTTTATTTATTTGAGCATAATGGCTGCTTTGTATCTCTCCTTTTTTTGTTGTTGACATTATTGTCACTTTGAATTAACATTTGAGATAATATCTGATATTCTTGCAATATTAGAAATGTTACATCAAATGAAATTTGATGAACTATCACTTGCGTTGTATTTTCTTATAGATTTTTTAGTCATAGTATGGTCTTAATGAATGCCGAAAACTGCAAATATGTGAAATTTTTGTGTGGTGTATTTTTAGAGAACTTCGGTTTAAAAATATTTGTAAGATATACATTTACTAAGGTAGTAAAGCTAAGTTATTTTGTCATAAATATAGAATGGACAAGGTTTGTTTTCATTTCCAAAGCCTCAATTTTGTAACGAATATTGATATTTGTCCCCTCAAAAAGTTTCTTACTGTAGTTTGAAGGGTCAAAATACTATGATTTTAAAAAGCTAGGAAACTGTGCAATTGTATGAAAACTGTGCTCCCTGGGCTGAGAAGGTGCCTGAGGAGCAAAGTACAGAGTACATTGACAGGACTGAAAGCACCTACAACCCTTCATCCAGAGCAGCTTCTGAAATTCCTCTCTTTGATCCATTTTATATCTCTTATTAGACACATGGCTTCAAAACCACAGGTTCAGGTTAGATGGTTATCTATTAATATTAGCAGTTTTCTTTTCTTTTAGTTTAGTGAAGTGTTTATCAACATCCAGTGTCCCTTGCTAAGAATTTTTAGGTCAGGAAGTTGTGTGAATATAGATGGTATTGCTTGCTCTTTTTCTCAATTTTAAAACCCAGATGACTGTAAAAATTTGATTATTTGTCATTTAGTCATTTCCAACAGGTAAAAATGATGATTGTATGATTCTACTGAAAATTGCCTGGGTGAAACAGGTCATCCTTAAAACTGGCAAAGGTTTTTGGGGAAAAGAGTTAATTGAATTTGAATTTTTTATGTCAGGGTTCTAAAAAGTATCTTTTAGGAAAAGTACACAGAAGTAAAATTGTCCATATATAGAGATACACAGAGTGAGAGAAAGAAAGCAAATTGGCAAAAAGTTAACAATAGTTTAATTTAAATGAAGAATATATGTTTGTCATGCCATTATTTCCAACTCTTCTCTGAGTAAAAAAATTTTCAAGATAAAAATTGGGGGGAAAAGTGAACCTAAAAAATTATTTATTCTAAAGTATATACCCAAATATTTACATTAGTTTTTAGCCCTTTTTGTGCATCTTTCCTAAAAGAAATGAAAAAAAAATACTTTAATACAATCACAGTTTTACAGCTTTTAAAATATTAAATGCAAAGTGTTTTCCTGGATCAGCAATCATAAAATTTTGGGTAGGGAAGTTTTTGTTCTTAGTTCAAGAGCTTCCTGTTCTATAGGTACAATGAAATGGGTTTTTTAAATAATTGGCTTAGTTCAGGGTAGGTGTAGCCACTTGGTGTGTCTTTCAATTCAGAGATACTGTCTTACAGTGTAAGATCTTTAATTTCAGTTGCCCGCTTCCTTCTTTCACTTTATCATCATGCCCCCCCAAATGCCTTCCCCTTCCAAAGGGCCTCTCTCTCCTCTTTAGGTGTTACATCTCAAGTCTGCCATCTCTGGTCGGGCTGGACCCTTGCAGCCATTGCTCAGTATCGTCAGGTCTCAGACCTAATCTCTGTACTTTACACCATGAGTGGGATCCTCTCTTTTGGCAGCGTGCTTTGTTCTCTGTCACACACATTTTTCTACATCTGACTCTCCTTCTGGAGTGATCTCCAGAGCTGGTTCTGCTGGCTTGAGATGTTTATTTCTTCACTTACATTTAAATCAAAATGCGTAGTGTACATGTGGCTTATGAGTAATTTTATCCATTCTCTGTCTGGTTTTTGTTGAGTATGTAAAGAAATTCAGATTTAAGTGGCTGTCGTTATTTTATGACAACCAGGATATGTCATTGGTACATTTTTCATCTGATGTCTGGTTCTTCAGTTCTGTTCTTTAAGGGGGTTGGCAGAAGCTACTTGCCAGGGTAGGAAAAAAATTAAGAGAGTGACCAGTTGCTCCTTTGCCTGTCCATTTTCTGTCAGTCTTTAGGTACCTTTTTTTTCCCTAGTCAAATAGTTGTTTAATATTCTTAATTATACTTATTTATAATGTGTTTTAATAAAGTGTAAACAGACATAAAGGAAGATATATATTTTTAGAGCTAAGTAAAAAGATTAGAGAGAGACCTTTGGGTTATGAGACCACTTTAGTTAACTTTTCTAACACACTATTGCATTAAATTATTTAGAAGAATTTATTGACCAGGTGTTCAGACTGAAATGAGAAATATCTTTGAATAAGGCATGTTCAATAGAGAGGCCTCTGCACAATCTGAAGGAAGAAGAAGGGTTAGTGCATCCACATCTTCAGCCTCTCCCACTTCGTTTCTGCCATGGAAAGATTTGATAGATTTATGAGTAGAGTGTAGACACTAGTTTTTATTCACTTTTGTATCTTCAGAACTAAGCACATTGCCTCAAACATGGTTCATGTTGATCAGTGTTTGTACAATGTGTGTTGAATAGATAATTGAGTGGCAGTTACCTTGTTCACTGCATCGATAGGATGACTTTGGGCCCAGGACTCAGGCAAGAAAAAGTGTTGGAAAGGTTTGTTAATGACAGTGACTGGCAGCCACAGACTCTCATTTTCCCTTCTTACAGGCAGAGTTAATTCATGGAAAGGCCTTCCTGTCAAAAATATCTTAACCATTGAGAATCATTGAGATTATCAGGTAAACAATACTAAGCTTAAGTGGTTAAAGCTAATAGTAACACCTTAATGTTATTTGATTTCCTCATAAATACCTGAAAAGAACAGAGAGTTGGGAACCTTGCTTGTCAGAAAAGCAAAGAGTAAGCAGGAAGAAACAGGACTCAGTGATATGATGAATTAGGTGAAGATGTATGCAATGTGAATACCTTCAAATACTTTGGAAGGAAAGAGTTGGAAAGCCAAGAGATAGGAGAAAAATAAGTGATAGGAATAACAAAAGCAACCTTGGTTCATGTTGCAGTTTTGCCTAGCTTTGGACTGCCACATTTTCTCATCTCAAAAACCAGGTGGCAAAAATCACTCCCTTCTCTCTTTCTCACACCCCTGTTTCCATTTTTCTTGCCTTATCTTGGCTATAGTAAAAGGAGAGAAGATATGAACCATCTCCTGCAATTTTTATAACAGTGTTTCTCAACTCTGGCTGCCCAGTTGGATCGTATATGACAGTTTCGGTGTCTAGATGCCTGGGACCCACTTCTGACCTTCTAATGTATAATCTCTAAGGGTGGGATTTGAATATAAGTATTTTTAAGAAGCACTATAGGTAATTCTGATGAACAGCATCGTTGAAAACAAGTGTTTGTTATGGTTCCTAAGAAGACAGAATTTTAGAAGATGTTCTGTAGAAATATATTCAAGGTTATTTGTAGTTATTTTAACCTCTCCCATGCAGAGACTTAGGTGGACTCTGCTCATGGGCTGTTTGCATATCCAAACCAAAGGCTGAACCCAGAAGGGTCCACAAGGGTATATCAGAGTCTGGAGTGCAAAGTAATTAACCACCCCCGCAAAAGTCCTTGAAGCATAGAGCTCAGAGTGAAAACCTGGGGAAACCAAACATAGAGGGCATAAATGCACAATAAAGTTAAGGTTTAGAAACTAGACAAAATCAAGGGGAAAAATGTAGAACAAGAAAAAAATGTCCAAGATAATTATTATGAGCACCACTAGAATTTTGATAGCTTAACTTTACTGATGAGCAGTGATGTCTGTGTGTGTGTGAAGGCAGACAACGCAAACAGTTTGTTCCTGTCTATTTAGCAGTGACTGTTTGCAAAGATGGAATATGGATGTGGTCTTATTTTGTATATACGGCATATGCTATATAGTCCTAGTATTCCTTGCTAAAATAGAAATCCACCACTGTACAGTTTGATCATTATATTGAAATAACTAACTTATAGGACAAGGTGTTCGCATGAACAAGGTTAGAGTATTTCCTGTCATATGTCTAGGACTAGGTTCCATGGAGCTATATTTCTGAATAATCAAGTATGGCATGTGTCTCTCCCTTCATATCTTACACACCTGCCTCTAACCCTCAGTTTGTTTGCACAGCTGTTTTTAAGTTTGGATTGGGGCAGTGTTGCCCTTTGGGATGTAAATTTGAGTTATTAATAGTCCAACATAGTACAGTAGAAAAGTCTGGTATGTACACTGCAACTTTTTATGATGATGTGTACTATGTAAACAATATGTGTTTTACATGAATATGTTTACCCAGTATGCTGTGGTAGACCATAGAGGTGGTCTGTCATGAATGTTAATTTTCAAAAATACCTCAAAACTCTCTGAGCAATTATGAATACCAAAGTTCTACCATATGTTTTAAAAACTGCTTTAAATATTTATACATTATAAGCCAGTAGTTCCTAGGAGAACACGAAATACCAGAAACAGTATTATTTAATGCAGTGCTTTATAGAATATATATGTTTTCCCAAGCTTGACTTGTTTCAGTGTTTTGTCTTAATATTGATCATCATTATCATAATTAATTTGAAATATTGATATTATTTCTTTCCCCTGAAGTTTGAGAGAGAGCTTCTTTTGGTTGTTTTTCCCATAAAGGTAGAAACATGCTGAGGAAACACTACTGGTTACCTATCCAGATCCACATCTCTCTTCTTCCTTGCTAACTGAGCTATGATTTTGTTCAAGCATCAGTTATTAGGAAGATTGAGCCCTGCTATAGCCTCAGAAATACGTGACTCTCAATCTAAATTAGTTATGGTAATTCCATTTATTTAGGAAAGGATATGAGACACAGTTCTTATCAATGAGGAGCATATATACTAGAGAGTTTCCTAGGAATTTTTTTTTTTCTGTTAAAAGTGAACACAAGACAGAAGCAGCGCTTTTTTTCTGCCTCTGGACTTTATCATCTGT